ACTCAGTGGGTGTGGTTGGGGTTACGTGCATTCTCACTGGGTGTGGTAGAGGTTACAGTGAACTCAGTGGGTGTAGAGGTTACAGTGAACTCAGTGGGTGTGGTAGAGGTTACAGTATGTACTCACTGGGTGTGGGAGAGGTACAGTGACTCAGTGGGTGTGGTAGAGATTACAGTGAACTCAGTGGGTGTGGTAGAGTTACAGTGAACTCAGTGGGTGTGGTAGAGATTACAGTGAACTCAGTGGGTGGTGTGAGTAGAGTTACAGTGAACTCAGTGGGTGTGGTAGAGATTACAGTGAACTCAGTGGGTGTGGTAGGGGTTACAGTGAACTCAGTGGGTGTGGTAGAGTTAGTGAACTCAGTGGGTGTGGTAGAGTTACAGTGAACTCAGTGGGTGTGGTAGAGATTACAGTGAACTCAGTGGGTGTGGTAGAGATTACAGTGAACTCAGTGGGTGTGGTGGGGTTAAGTGAACTCAGTGGGTGTGGTAGGATTACAGTGTGTACTCACTGGGGTGGGAGTGGGGGTTCAGTGAACTCAGTGGGTGGTGGGGTTGATGAACTCAGTGGGTGTGGTAGAGGTTACAGTATGTACTCAGTGGGTGTGGTAGAGATTACAGTGAACTCAGTGGGTGTGGGTAGAGGTTACAGTATGTACTCACTGGGTGTGGTAGAGATACAGTGAACTCAGTGGGTGTGGTAGAGTTACAGTGAACTCAGTGGGTGTGGTAGAGGTTGCAGTATGTACTCAGTGGGGTGGTAGAGATTACAGTGAACTCAGTGGGTGTGGTAGAGGTTACAGTGAACTCAGTGGGTGGTAGAGATCAAGTGAACTCAGTGGGTGTGGTAGAGGTTACAGTGAACTCAGTGGGTGTGGTAGAGGTTACAGTGAACTCAGTGGGTGTGTGGTAGAGGTTACAGTGAACAGTGGGTGTGGTGAGATTAGCAGTGAACTCAGTGGGTGGTAGAGGTTACAGTATGTACTCACTGGGTGTGGTGGAGTGTCATATGAACTCAGTGGGTGTGGTAGAGGTTACAGTGAACTCAGTGGTGGAGTGTGGTGATGTACCAGTGGGTGTGAGATTGTTAACTCAGTGGGTGTGGTAGAGGTTACAGTATGTACTCACTGGGTGTGGTAGAGTGTTACAGTGAACTTAGTGGGTGTGGTGAGGTTACAGTGAACTCAGTGGTGTGTGGTGGTAGAGGTTACAGTATGTACTCAGTGGGTGGTGAGGTTGGGTGGTGGTGAGATACAGTGAACTCAGTGGTGTGTGTGAGAGGTGCATGTACTACTGGTGTGGTAGAGGTTACAGTGAACTCAGTGGGTGTGTGGTAGAGATTACAGGAACTCACTGGGTGGTAAGTTACAGTGAACTCAGTGGGTGATACAGTGAACTCAGTGGGTGTGGTAGAGGTTACAGTGAACTTGGTGGGTGTGTGGGGTAGAGTTACAGTGAACTCACTGGGTGTGGTAGAGATTACAGTGAACTCAGTGGGTGTGGTGGTAGATTACAGGAACTCAGTGGGTGGTGGAGTGCGAACAGTGGTGTGGAGAGACAGTGAACTCAGTGGGTGTGGTAGAGGTGAATTCAGTGGGTGTGGTGGTAGAGATTAAAGTGAACTCAGTGGGTGTGGTAGAGGTTACAGATGTACTCAGTGGGGTGAGGAGGTTGCAAGTGAACTCAGTGGGTGTGGTAGAGGTTACAGTGAACTCAGTGGGGTGGTAGAGGTTACAGATGTACCAGTGGGTGTGGTAGAGATACAGTGAACTCAGTGGGTGTGGTAGAGGTTGTGAGCATGTATCACTGGGGTGGTGGTAGAGATTGTGAACTCAGTGTGTGTGGTAGAGGTTAGAGAACTCAGTGGGTGTGGTAGAGGCCAGATGACTAGTGGGTGGGAGATGTATGAACTAGTGGGTGGGTAGAGTACAGTGAACTCAGTGGGGTGTGGTAGATGGCTGGTGAACTCAGTGGGTGTGGTAGATGTTGACAGTGGTGTGGAGTGCAGTGACTCAGTGTGGGGGTACAGTATGTACTCAGTGGTGTGGTAGAGGTTACAGTTGACT